AAATTTCCGTATCGACACAACCCAAGCGTATATTTCCCCGTTGCTTCCGTTTTCTAGTGCAATTTCTTCTAAACATACTCTGAAATTAGTATTTCTCGTACTTTAACGCGATTTGCCGTCTTTCCCGCATTTTAGATAAATTTTCACGTACATACACCCCCAAGCATATATTTACTATTGCTTTCGCTTTCTAGAACAATTTCCCCTAAACATACCCCAAAATGAATATTTCCCGTACCTTAAAGTGATTTCCCGTCATTCCCACTTTTTGTGAAATTTCCTGCTTTTTAGTGAAATTTCCCGTAGTTCGCGTCATTCCCGTAGTTCCCGCATTTTAGGGTTGCCCTCCAACATAGCTCTACTACTCGCCTAGTTGCAGGAACTATATTATACTATCTACAACCCTTATACCACCACTCAAACATAAGACCAAGCGTGTATGATAAGGACATCACAGCTAGAAAAAGGTAAAAACACGAGCGTGAAGTGATAGAATGTGTGCAGTTATTTAAAGAAAATCATCCGGGTATGTCAGCTACTTATATATTTAAAAAAAATATACCGGTATTTCTATGTTTTACCACCATAATTTGCTACTGTGAATGTTTTCAAAATTACAGTTACTGTTAACTGCCTTATTGAACATGTTAATGTATCAATATCCAAAATAAAATATAATAAACCATATTACGCTATCAGAAGTTTGTATCGTAAAATCACCAAGTATGACTGTATGATCCAGGCCATCACAAATATACCAGACTTGCTTGAACTTACTAGGAACTTATTCTTTGTTCAACCTATTGCAGAATTGTCAGCAGAATAGATAAAAGGTACTGTATAAATAATATCAATAGGTTCACACATATCTGCCTATACATAATATAGAGAAATACCTGAAAATAATGTTTTTTTCGTTCCAAAGAATTTTAGGATAGGATAGGATTTACATATTTATCCTGAGGGAGAGGAAAGTCGATAAGACGGCTTATCCATATGGCGAACCACGGCCTCTCGTCCGGTTATCATTCCAAGTCGGGTATGGGATTAGTTATATTGTTTTGTTTTCGGAAGCATGGACTTGGTGGTGGAGGAAGCCGTAACCGACCAGCGGTTACGTGAACCACCCAACGACGGCGAGGAGTCCAGCAATCCTCTCGCACATAACCATATCTGCATGGGATTCGAACCTGCGAACCCACGCAGAGAGTAATTAGAGGTGCGGTGGCGAGCGTATTCCTAACGCTTAGCCCGTTGAGCCACACCGCCGCGATGTTGTTTCAGTGCAATTTGAAAACCGCAAAGATCCAACAAAAAATTCAAACGATATAAAATAGTGCAATGAGCTGGTACAATAAAAATACAGCTTACAGAACAACCAGATGACATTGCACAAAAAAATCACTTAGGTAACTTATATACAAAACATAAAAAGTGATATATTGCCACTTGGAAAGAACACATATACCGGTACCCAATATGACATGCCATTTATTAGCAATTTGACGTTTTACAGAAATTTTAGAAAACTTGGAAGAGTTTACATGTTTTGTAAATATTAACATATGGATTTGCACCTAAAAAATTGTTTAAGAAAGTATTATGTATCTAAATGTATAATTATAATCAACAAAAACTACTGGTGGTGGTCATGTAATATAGCAAATGGTTAGATTTGGAACAATTTTTATTTTGCGATTATAAGATATAAGTAATGTTCTGTCTTGATATAATAAATACATGTGATCTAATGGAAATGCTAACACATACAAAGCAAACTGTCTAATCAAACCACAATACCATATCCTCTACTACAGGGGTGTCAAACTCGTGGGTATTCAAGGGCCGCATTGGAATTGGGAATTGTGCAAAGAGCCATAAACAGCTTTTGATATATTTTGATAATGTATACTTAATAGCATATTTTTAGATATGTGTAGTTTGTGACATATATTGTGATGCAATTAAATAGCCGAATGAAGTTTTGGTATTTTCTGAAATTTCAAATGGCATTTACATATTAATTTCTTGGTATTTTACTATTATTGCAAATTTATTTATTATTAAAATCCAAGTTTTTTTACAACTACCCAAAATATTTTTGAACAAAGATTTGATAAAAAAATAATACATAATAAAAATGACTTAACCCTTTCCATGCGATTTTTATTTTTTATTAAACAAGAGAGCTACGCACAAATATATGGACACGTTAGACCAGAGCGAATCAGTCCTTACCGGTACCTTTGACGCTACCGGTACCCTCAAGGCATTTGCCTTGCCATTGTTAGCTCAATACTTGTTCAGATCCACAGCCTATAAAAGTGTCCCCCAGAACCTGGAACAAGGCTGTTGTGAAGGATTCGATTTTAGTGATTCTCTTCCATAATCCCCACAGTTTTGCCCTTGGCTGTATATGCAAAAATGTACCCAGTAATTGATTACCGGTACCTCACTAAACCTTAAAGGGTGAGATTATGCCTACCTAAGGATATAATCGAATAATTCGTGGGTCATATTTTGTTCTGGTTTCTATGATAAGGGTCTTTTTGATTTAGTGATCCTGCTCTCTGAATTAATATTGATTTATTTATATTAATTGTTATTTGGTTCCTAAACTAGTGTCTCTATATTTTATATTCTAATTGTGTTGTCTGGTATTTTCAACTTTTTGCATTTCTTAGTTCACAACATAGAATTGAATGATGTATTTACCTGTTAATTTTCCATTTCTCTGTTTACATGAATTGGATTGTATTTTCATCCAATACCAATTCCTTCCTCCAATTTTCCAATGACTCCAGTTCTGGAAACCATACCACAGTGCCAATACTTTCTTGAACTTGCTCCCATATTTAAGATAATTGTAACCATCAAGATGTGCTTATATTTCAAAATATATTTCTTAATAACTAACTGCCTTAATTACGTATCCCGGCGTACATGGCCACTATCATATCGCGCGGCTTCAAAAGCAATATTCTTGTAAGGTTCCACGACGCTGACTGTGGTCAGACTGCTGTTATGTTACTATACTGTTGCCCATGGTTACCCTGGTTGTGCCTGGAGTCTCTTTTTTTGTTACGGTTTTGGATTTTCTTGGACATTCTTTCCTTCACTGCTTAAATGTGTTCGATTTTTGGACACGAAGTGGACATAACGATCGTTTCAATATTATGTTGTTGTTGTTGTTCTTGTTCTTTGACACGTTTTTAAAAAGTCGCTTTTCTCTTCGAATACTGGACCAATTGCTTTGAAATTTTCAGTGGTTGAAGATAAAATTTTTCTCCAGAAGGCTATTACTTTTATTTATTTTAAAATTTCCTGTGGACTTCGAGAGATTCGTTTTTTGTGTTCAAAGAAGTGATCAGAATAAAAAATAGTGACACCTTGTGGCAATTGCGCGAAGGCATATCAACTGAGAAGCGATCGTAATTCTTGTTGTTTATGGGGAATCGAGATGTTTGGGGTTACCGGTACCCGCAATGCAGCAATGCAACGGTTTGCGATTTCAATAAACTCGAAAGGTTTTTGAGGTTAAGTTAAACTACCGATACTGTTTCGCTCGGTGTTCAATCAATCAATGTTCACTTTCCATATATTTCAGTATTTGTAGACTGTGGTTCCCGTGTTAAGCGAAAGTGATACCGGTACGATAGCTGGGAAAGCTATGACAGTCCCTGTGGCCTGTACGGCACGTACCGGTACCGTTTACAGGTTTACGTACCGTCTTACCAATACCGGTACCGTAGTCCGTTACGGTACGTACCGCCACCGGTACTCGGTACAGCTGTACAGGTACGATATCGGTAGACTAGTACAGTATTACTGTACTAGTTGCATTAATTATATTTGTTTAGAGTGTGTGCCTGCATTGAAATTAAGTTTTTGTAATGAGCCAGCATGTCTGCACAGCTGCTATGCCTTTCTAATTTTTCGCTGTTTCGTTACATTTTTTTGGAAACAACATTTGCATAAATACGTAGGGTGGAGGCTAACTCGCCATGAGGGCTAACTCGCCATGGACCACTCGCCATGCGACGGCGGTTAACGGGTTAGCCTGCAACTGTGCGGAGGCTCTTCTTGTAATGGGAGATGGAAAGGTGGCTGTTTATACTAACAACTTCAATAGTAAGGATAAATATATTAAATTAAATGTGTTTGGTTACAATACCTACTGTGCAAATGGTAACAAAGTGACAAGAAAACGACCGGTACCGTACGGTACTCGACGCGCAAAGGATGTCTCAACTTATCATTTTCATCTAAGCATGCTAAATATATCATCATATTAATTGATTGTATGAGCTCTGAATCACCAACAACGCTAAATATATCAAAAGTTCTATTTTGCTACCGGCAGTCTCATTTTATTCTAACAGCCGTTGATTGCGAGCAGAGAGGGAGAGAGAGGGCTAACTCGCCATGTCTTTATTCTTTATAATTGACCATCGACATCGCCATTTCGAGAGAGAGAGAGAGAGGGCTAACTCGCCATGTCTTTATTCTTTATAATTGACGATCGACATCGCGAGTTCGAGAGAGAGAGAGAGGGCTAACTCGCCATGTCTTTATTCTTTATAATTGACCATCGACATCGCCATTTCGAGAGAGAGGGAGAGGGCTAACTCGCCATGTCTTTATTCTTTATAATTGACGATCGACATCGCGAGTTCGAGAGAGAGAGAGGGCTAACTCGCCATGTCTTTATTCTTTATAATTAACCATTGACATCGCGAGTTCGAGAGAGAGAGAGGGCTAACTCGCCATGTCTTTATTCTTTATAATTGACGATCGTATAGTAGACCCAGATAGTATTATCACTGAGCTTAAGCGTAATTTATCTCCGGTCTTACGCCTTACCATAGCCAAGCACTATAAATGTGGCAATATCAACGGATACAATACCACAGTTCTTGAACTGATTCTACGAATTTCTATTACGACTTCGATTGTCTACGATTTTCAAACTCGAAGCAACGATGAATGCAACTAATGCATGTCTACAGTCACCAACAAACAAGAAGGCTTGATCTGCGACATTTGTGTTCGGTGGTTTCACCGAAAATGTTTCAATGGAACTACAGTAGGAATGTCCAGGCCGCAATACAGATTACTGAAAAGTCGAGACGTCACTTTTGACTGGAAATGCCTAGACTGCTACACAAAGGTAAGTATAGAAGATATAGTATATATCTATTTTCTATATAAGTATAAAAGTCAAAAAGTTATAATGATCTTGTTTCTTTGCAGGCCGAAGATCATCAACAACAACAGCGGAATGATTCCACGATATATCTGGCCCCGCCGACGACCATTCCACGACTCGTTGATTAGTCCGACTCTGAATGCTCTGAGATTAGCCCAATACCTATGGTAAATATCCTCTCTCATTACTCATTTAGATCCCTAGTGTTTCGCACCTAGCCTATATGTCTAACTTGTTGCTCTTTTTTACAGACTGAGGAAATTTTTACATTTCCCGTCGGATGTTCAGGGGTGGTGGAGTCATCCATAGAGGCTTCTGTTCTTAGGGACATATCCAGCGAAAATGCCGAGACGACCTTCGTAGTGGAAGGGGACCTGAGTCAAAGAAAACACCCCAAGCTGTATGAGAGGCACGGTTACTCCTATACGGTTCTTCGCACTAATATCAATGGAAGTGGTGAGTTATAGTGAAACTCATATTACTACAACAAACAATTGCAATGTTTCTAATTAATCTTTTCTATCTACAGTTACCTGGCGGTGTTCGGTGCGGAGGAAAGGAAATATATGCCCGGCCAAGGTATACCAAACAGAGGATGATTTTAGTAGAAATGGTTTGGATCATACCCACGAACCTAGACCAAACGAACGGCCCCGCGTCCTTCTCAACAGGGCAGTTTTGAAGCGCGGGTTGGAAAATCCGTACTCGGCATGTGGAATCATTACGAAAGCGGCAAGGAGAGACATGACCAACCCGCCTTCTATAAGATTCACTAATGTAAGTATCGTGATTTTCAGTGTACTTAATTTTCATTTTTTCTACCTTTCCCTTTCAGGAAGGAACATTGAAGAGGTTCTGCAATAGGAAAAGACAGGGAAACAGATCCACAGATCCATCAGATATTAACGATGAGTTGAAAATAGATTATTTACCTACTGATTTCTTATTAAAAGATATCAGAATAGAGGGAGCGCGTCACCTTTTGTTCGCAACCCAAAAGCAATTGAAAATTTTGGCCAATTCAAAAGTTTGGTACATGGACGGTACTTTTGATGTTGTTAGGGACCCGTATTATCAACTCTTTTCAATTCACGCATTCGTTCGAAGTGGTGAATGTGCCAAACAACTGCCCCTCGTTTTTGTTTTAATGTCAAGGCGACGTAAGTGTGATTATGAAAATGTTTTCAAGGCTATCAAAACTATACTGCATTTAAATTTTCCAGGTACTCGTGTGAAGAAATTTGTCATGGACTTTGAAGCAGCAACATGGCAAGCACTGTCTCTGGTATGGCCGGATGTGAGAAGACAGGGATGTGCATTCCATTTCACTCAGGCCATCATGAAGAACATGCGACAGAACAAATTAGCAAGTTGTATAACAAGTGAGTAATTTAGTGCTCATATGCATCTATGTGTTTATATCATTAACGTTGTTGAATATGTAATTTCCATTTTTCAGGGACATCGGGACGAGAGATTTAATGAAGCAAGTCATGGCCCTGTGTTATATTCCAGATATGTTCATCCCGTCGCTGTTCCTATCTCTGCGAGGCAAAATGACCACCGACGGGTTGAATAGATTTGCCGAATATTTCGACAGGACATGGCTGAAGAACTCAGTTTGGAAACCAAAAGACTGGTCAGTATTCGACGTCGACGTTAGGACTAACAACCATTTGGAAGGGTGGCATCGGTACTTCAATAGCATAGCACGGACAAATATGCCTTTTTATAGCCTTATATCCAAGATTCACGAGGTCAGCATTGCGGTGGAATCAGATGTAGCAGAAGTAATGGAGGAAAATATACCAAGAAGGGCTGACGCAAAATACAGCGAGGCAAATGACAAGCTGAAGGAAGTTTGGAGTGTTTTCAAGGACGGATGATTATCTGCGGAGGCTCTCCTTCGAAGATGTTCAAAAATCTACGGCCCGGCCTTTTGTAAAGAGTAAGTAACCTAGTGTAAATATTTTTCCCCTTCCTCAGTTTCTTTTCCATGTACAGCTATGATGCCTATCTGTGCTTGGGTTTCTTCTGGTAAAAAGAAATTCTGACTCGAAGGCTGAAACCTTGTCGTGGTGAGTTGGCTTAACACTAATATCAGCCGGCATCAGGGTAATCGACAATTATATAGAAAATAGACATGGCGAGTTAGCCCTCTCTCTCTCGAACTCGCGATGTCGATCGTCAATTATAAAGAATAAAGACATGGCGAGTTAGCCCTCTCTCTCTCTCGAACTCGCGATGTCGATCGTCAATTATAAAGAATAAAGACATGGCGAGTTAGCCCACTCTCTCTCTCGAACTCGCGATGTCGATCGTCAATTATAAAGAATAAAGACATGGCGAGTTAGCCCTCTCTCTCTCTCGAACTCGCGATGTCGATCGTCAATTATAAAGAATAAAGACATGGCGAGTTAGCCCTCTCTCTCTCTCGAACTCGCGATGTCGATCGTCAATTATAAAGAATAAAGACATGGCGAGTTAGCCCTCTCTCTCTCTCGAAATGGCGATGTCGATGGTCAATTATAAAGAATAAAGACATGGCGAGTTAGCCCTCTCTCTCTCTCGAAATGGCGATGTCGATGGTCAATTATAAAGAATAAAGACATGGCGAGTTAGCCCTCTCTCTCTCTCGAACTCGCGATGTCGATGGTCAATTATAAAGAATAAAGACATGGCGAGTTAGCCCTCTCTCTCTCTCGAACTCGCGATGTCGATCGTCAATTATAAAGAATAAAGACATGGCGAGTTAGCCCTCTCTCTCTCTCGAACTCGCGATGTCGATCGTCAATTATAAAGAATAAAGACATGGCGAGTTAGCCCTCTCTCTCTCTCGAAATGGCGATGTCGATGGTCAATTATAAAGAATAAAGACATGGCGAGTTAGCCCTCTCTCTCTCTCGAAATGGCGATGTCGATGGTCAATTATAAAGAATAAAGACATGGCGAGTTAGCCCTCTCTCTCTCTCGAAATGGCGATGTCGATGGTCAATTATAAAGAATAAAGACATGGCGAGTTAGCCCTCTCTCTCTCTCGAACTCGCGATGTCGATCGTCAATTATAAAGAATAAAGACATGGCGAGTTAGCCCTCTCTCTCTCTCTCGAAATGGCGATGTCGATCGTCAATTATAAAGAATAAAGACATGGCGAGTTAGCCCTCTCTCTCTCTCGAACTCGCGATGTCGATCGTCAATTATAAAGAATAAAGACATGGCGAGTTAGCCCTCTCTCTCTCTCGAACTCGCGATGTCGATCGTCAATTATAAAGAATAAAGACATGGCGAGTTAGCCCTCTCTCTCTCTCGAACTCGCGATGTCGATCGTCAATTATAAAGAATAAAGACATGGCGAGTTAGCTCTCTCTCCCCCTCTCTGCTTGCAATCAACGGCTGTTAGAATAAAATGAGACTGCCGGTAGCAAAATAGAACTTTTGATATATTTAGCGTTGTTGTTGATTCAGAGCTCATACAATCAATTAATATGATGATATATTTAGCATGCTTAAATGAAAATGATAAGTTGAGACATCTTTTGCGCGTCGAGTACCGTACGGTACCGGTATGCCTTCCGACATATAAGCCCGTTTTCTTGTCACTTTGTTACCATTTGCACAGTAGGAATTGTAACCAAACACATTTAATTTAATATATTTATCCTTACTATTGAAGTTGTTAGTATAAACAGCCACCTTTCCATCTCCCATTACAAGAAGAGCCTCCGCACAGTTGCAGGCTAACCCGTCAACCGCCGTCGCATGGCGAGTGGTCCATGGCGAGTTAGCCCTCATGGCGAGTTAGCCGTCAGCCAATACGTATGGTACCGGTACCGTATGCAGAGGAAAAAACTTCACAAAAATTTCAACATGTGCAGCAGGTTAGTGTACATAAATCAGTAAATACAGAAATATGCAGAGGAAGAGACTTTACAAAAAGGATAAGATTTACATAATTATCCCGATGGAGAGGAAAGCCTATAGAACGGCTTAACCATATTGCGAACCACTGCCTCTTGTCTGGTTACCGGTAAGGTACCATTCCAAGTCTGGTATGGCTGTATGGGAGAAGCATTACAATCTTTCCAATAGAACAGCGTGATGCAATTATTGCAAATAGTTTTCGTGTCCATATATTTGAGCATTGCTCTCTTGTTTCTATTCTACTTGTATCAAAGTTAGACATTTATCACAGGTGTCGCTGCTGGATAACCAACATTGTTTTTTTCGTGTCACCCTTCACCATGAAATGCCTTTATTTATGTTTTCTCTAATTTTTGTTCGCATTACGTGTATGTTTCATTTTGGTGAAAAATAAACGACTGACTGACGCAAAAAAGTTCTGAATTTCCAGTAGCAAGAATTTTGCAGAATCAAAACGTACAGCCAGTCATGACACTGACTAAAATCCGTGTTCCCATGGATAAAAAATAATACAGCAAAATTTTAGACGAAATATCAAATTTAGATATATAGAATATGAATATAGAATTCACGCAATATTTCGGAATAAATAAAAGTAATAGCCTTCTAGCGAAAAAATTAATCTTTAACCACTGAAAATTTCAAAGCAATTGGTCCAGTATTCGAAGAGAAAAGCGACTTTTTAAAAACGTGTCAAAGAACAAGAACAACAAAATTTTGAAACGATCGTTATGGCCGCTAAACGTGTCCAATAATCGTATTTGCTACGCCGATTTTATGCATTTGTACCCCCACAACTAATCGATCGACTAACGAAAAACTAATGATCCTCTGCTGCCCACTGACGGCTCGTTCGAAAGCTTATTCAAAGAGCTTGCAATTGGCGATTAAAAAAAAAAGTTTTTTTGAAAGTGGTGGTCTGAGTCACAAACCGGATAGAAAAAAGGCATTTTTTTTTCTTGGGAGTTGAAACTTCAAACCGTGATAAAAAATAGAAATGTTCGCTAAATCCTTTACTGTTACCGCTTCGTGGTTGGCAAACAATAGCATAATACTGCTGTAGCAATTTAGTGATTTAACTCAAAATACTTTGGCAGATGGAAGGGATAATATGTCCTCTATTACCACCCAAAAAACACTCCCTCGTTCCGCCGCAAATAAAATTCCCGCCATAAACAAAAGCGAGATTTACCGTCGCTTATGTTAATCTCGAAGAAGACTTCTTATCAATAAACTGAAACCCGGAAAAACTAGACCAACAGTTTGCGACCGATTGCTAAATAAAACAGTGGAGTACATCAACGTACCCGCCGCAATCTAGCGACTTTTGTCGTTGGTACGTAAGCGTGCCCACCGCACGGAAAGGGTCAATCTAAATAAATACCCCAAAAATACTAACGAATAAACTCAATGTTTTTTTCATTACATATGTCCTGACGTTTGGCATCTCTTTTGTGCCACCAGCTTACTAATATTGGGCTGAAATGATTTTACAATACCAACTCTAATTAACGAGGTCACATGATTATCGGTTATACTGGATCGTTGAGAATGTTTGATTAATTTCAGTAATGCAAAAATATTACATTCATCATACCATTTATAGATCAGTTAACAAAAGTAATGACTGACTTTTCGGACCATACATTTCCTGCCACATTGCCATATGACCGCTTGGGTTATGATTTATATATATTGACTTTTAGTAACTACGTAGTTGTATAATTATAATATTATATACATAAACACATAAAAATATTCTATTCGAAGTTGTTCTTCAAATTTGTCATATTGACTGCTGAGCTTATTCTGATATTGTCTACTGATGTTGTATTCTTTCATTGTGCTGATAGAAATGTGCCAAATTAAACAATGTGCTTTAGAATTTTAAGAAATACAGAAATATTGCAACCCCCTTTTTTTGAAAATGCCACTTTCTTCGTGTACTTCGCGTTTCATTTAGTTCCTGAAGTGTTTTTTTTTCAATTATATTTTTGCTAGCTTGAAGTGTATCCATAATTGGGTCAGATTGGTAATTTTTCAAAACTACTTTCTGTAAATTGTCCTTTTTTTGTGTGAATAATCAATTAGATGAAAAAAAACTTACAAAATATTGTTAGGCGTTCTGGGGCCGCACGGGCCGCTATTTGACACCCCTGCTCTACTATTATCAAGGGGAACAACTTGCAGTGTGGTTGAAGTTGTATAGATATGGCATTTTGACACAGGGTTATGTTGAATAATTATCAAATCTGCTTTAAAACCTTGTATTGTTTACATGTGCTGTGCTACCTAAATGGCGAAAGGCAGGGGTATTTCACTTGTGATTATCTCAATTACTGCCAAACACTATTGATTATCAGTCTTTAGCGAAATACAAAATTTATATAAAAACATTATAAACCAACAATATTGATCATGAGAATACAAACAATATAAAAGAAGATATGACTGATCTATGACTTTAGAAAATCATTTCTGCAATTTTACATCTGCAGGAAATCTTGGCAGTATTAGGCAGAAAATCATGTATTTACCAACTGAAAATGATTTCGATGAAAGGTCAGCAAACACTACTGAAAACTCAACATGAATTGTTTAGAAATCCATTCACAAGCTCACAACATATTTATGTGACTAAACTGTTTATTGTCAAACAGGAGTAGCTTATTGTCGTAAGAGATGTATTTTGGGTAGCAAGATGACACAAAAGCGTGGTTGATCAAACTCTTCCCACAATCAAAAAAACTTGAAAAACAAAACTGAGAAACAAAAATTTGAAAACTAGGGGTGTGTTGTCCGAGTTTGCTATGTGTCTATTAATAATGGAAACAAGGTGTTGTGTTCACTTCAAATTCCCCGGAGTCAAAATTTCAGACTTTTAAAACAGATAATTAAAGTCGGAACTTTGCCCAAGAAATCATGTTAGCATACTCAACACTTACCGGTAAATAAAGTATGCATAGTAAAATATTTATACTTTTTTCCTAATTAATTAAAAAGTTTGAAGGAAGGTGTAAATTTTTCCAGACTCCACACCACAGCTTTAGCTGATTATTCTTATATGCAAATTAAAAGATTCAGCAAATGCAACGGTCTTATATATTTTGTCAACTATTGAACCTGGAGGGAGGGAAATGCATATCAAAGGGAACAAAGCTTTGAAGAATATTATGATGACAAGTAGAAAAACAATGTGAATCAATGCATATACAAAACTGAACTTAAAAAATAACGACAGAGCATATAACATGAAAATGTAGAATATATTTCTGTAATGAGCGATAAATCTCAAAGAGAGATGAGGCCTAGGATGAAAACCATGTTTCAGTGCAGGGAATTCGTCAGGTTGTTCAAATAATATTTTACAGACTTTTCCCAAGATATCATTTTTCTTGCATAATTCTTCAATTTCATGTTGGTATTTGCCATTGAATTTTGATGAAAGTTTGTGTAAGAAGCGAATCAAAAAAGCATTTTCAAAACTACAAATAGGACGAAGATCAGCATCTACATTTGGCAAAATTGGGAATTTTTTCAATTTGTTTTGAAGCTGAAAACGGCCAGTTGGTGACAAACTCATTTTTCCATTTTCATCTAATTCATAATCTGCTATAACACTGCCATGTCCAGGTGATTTTCTTGAAACAATATCAAGTTTGGGTAATGGTAACTCAAAAAATATACCAGAAAGTTTTCAAGGCATAATTCAGATTTTGCTCAATCTTTTTCTCGTCCGGTCCAATAGAACCAGAATCGTTGTTTTTAACACAGAATGTGGTTCTGTGGTTAATCTAAGAGATTAATACATGAGATCTGAGTGAAAATCTCCAAGAGCCACCATAATTGGTCCTTTAACTTGCACTCCATGTATTTGTATTCTATTTATAAGTTGGAACATTGCTCCATCCAGTCACCGGAATCGTCTCACAATGCCAAAGTCTGCCATAGAAACTCTGCTTCTCACCACACACTATTTATATGTTTTGTTGATAAAAAACACCACAGACCTGAGTTAAACTTTTACAAGTTTCTTGAATATCAAAATTCGATGAAGCCATTTGTAAGGAATCGTTGATTTCATTTCCAGCTGATCTCATGATAATAATAACTATGTTATCAAAAATATACCATTTGTTATCTGTGAGAAAAAAATTAAATTAATAATAGTATAGGGAGTTTAGATGTAAGGTAAAATACTTCAAAATCAGAAATCAAACCTATATAACACAGATTAAATTTGAGTAAAATGAAAACTTGTAATTCTTGTTTATTCTGAACATTTTAGCAACCAAACTTCAAACAATTTTCAACACATTGTGCTCTTAAATTTATTAATCTTAGCAGACATAACAAGAATATATATATATTATATTGTATATTTTAAACTGATGTATCTTTATCATAAGCAGTAGATATAAAAAAAATTACAAATTGGACAGTTACAGTTATCAAAAACACATAATAAAAACAGGTTGCAATTATTGCCTACTTTATTTTACCTATTTTATTCTTAGATATTCATAATCACCTAAAGAAGACTTTATCAAAAGCTAATGCACATAAGCAATAAAATAAAGTGGGAGTTACCGCTGCTGACACAAACCTTACTATCTGTGGCACAAAATTTCAGAATTGAGTAAAGAAATAATCTGATAGGTTCAACATAAAAATTACGATCATAACTCTAGAATCTAGATAACACAATGATTTAAAACACCATGAATCAAATAATGACAGTTAAAATAAATGCTATGTAGAAATGAAATTGAAGACAGTAAGAAATCGAAGATGCAGGACAGGGTTGTCCAAAATGAATCGAATATTCGAAAACATTCGAATATCAAAGTATTCGAATACCTTTTTGGCTGATTTTCTAATAATTCCGAATAGTAGCCACTTTTCGCTTCTAAGTGAAATCTTCAAATGATTTTCCGGGCTTTGTAACGTATTGTAATCACGATGAAGTAGGATCGGCACTTTATTTGTTTGTGATCTTCTGTGCGAGCATGCGCCTCATGCTGTTGCACGATTGGCATTGCCGCTAATTTATACATTTATTTCCATCACGTCGAAAATTTGAAATTATTCAAAGCCACAATTGTTACAATACCCAATAAATTAGTCATTAGGAGCTATTAGGAAATATGGTTTATACTTTTTAACCCCTTTTCGGCAACCAATTTTGATAATGATAGTTAAAAGTATCACTTTTTTACCAGGATGATTTTCTGTTGCGCAAAATATTTAGATACCAGCAATTACAAGGCTTTGCCGTATTGATTCAATTCTGTTTAACATAAACCCTGGTTGCGTCGACTTAAGAAAAAATAAAAGCATTGCTATCGTATATTAAAATATCACAGCAATCTGGGGACATAAAATGTGTGGTGAGCTGCCCGATTATACCTAATCTTAGATTCTCATTTTCCTACTTGCGAAAAAATAAAAGCATTACTATTGAAAAATACAGGGCAGTCTGCGGACATAAAATGTGTGGAAAACTGCCCGATTATAATTAATTTTTGATTCGAAGTTTCGTACTACGAGAAAACAGAAGGAATTACAAAACTCTAAAAAACAGTGGCAATCAGCGGACATAAAATGTGTAGTAAACTGCGCGATTATTATCAATTTTTGATTCGTATTTTCGTACCAACTAAAATATGAAAAGCTATACTACTCAAAAATATCGGGCAATCGGTGGACATAAAATGTCTGGTAAATAGACAGGTTGTAGATAACAGTTATTCCATTGTTTATTGTATGCAGATTCCTTCATGCCCTAAAATATGCTTTTTTACTTAAATTTATTTTTGCATGTATTCGAAATTTCATATTCGAAAATAATAATTTCGAATGTATTCGAAATAATGAACTTATTTGGTAAAAAAAAATTAATAGAAAATTAGATAGATACTACTTTAAGCATAATGAATTTAAATCGCATAATGAATTTAAATCAACTCTTCGAAGTCAAATTTCTTGGCCATGGTTATGCTCGATAACTGGTGAAATGCAGCTGAAATAGAAATTTGGTTATTCATCCACGTTCATGATCAAATCAACAACAGAGGTTTATTTTTACTACTACTCAATTTTAGTTGATGAATAATAAGAATAAATGATGCCACAAAGGTATAACAACTGATGGGAACAGTCAATGTTACATAAATAATGCAACAGTAGCCAGTGGAGTTACATTTTTTCCTTGAATGGTTTCAATGATTTCCCATTCTTTTGTTTCAGGATCATATTCTTCTATATTTGCAGAATTTTGATTTCCACCTATGACATAAACTTTCCCATCAATCACACAACTTCTAAACTCTGATCTAGCATTTTTCATTGGTTTCAACATCATCCAGGTTTTAGTTACAGATGAACGAAATTCAACAGTAGTTGATGTTCCATAAACATTACAACCTCCCATAACATATATTCCTTCCTCTGTGACAGTTGCAGAAGCACAATATCTTGCTTCATTCAATGATCTATTATCCATTGACCAAGTTGATGTGACAGGATCATAAATCTCAACTTGGTTTGTTGCTTGATATTGCTGCTTAGATTGTCCAGCAAAACAAAACACCTTTCCATCAGCAGCCACCAAAGATTCACAAGCTAGGATCAATGATTTGTTTGTTAGTCTGGTCCATCTATTATTTGATGGATCATATATTTCCATAATGTTTGAGAAACTTCCATACTCAATACCATAAACAAAACCATCAAGTGCAACTACACATGCATACTGAAGATTTGGATTTGTCATTTGTTCCCACTTTGCATTTGATTCAGCATATTCAAGTCTGTAAAACGATCCATTCGTACAAATCACATAAATGTAAGATTCCATCACTACAGCAGAATATAAATTCTGTATAATTGCGTTTTCTATAGTTTGCATCGGTTTCCATGTTTTATCATCAATATCATGAGAATGCATTCTTTGAGAAGTTTGATCAAAAACAACAAGCTGTTTATTGTTTGTTAAATTGACATCTTTTTCGCTAAAATTTCCAGTACTGTCAAAAACTGACAAAGTCAATAACTGAAGCGATTTGGCAGATTCAAATATCAATGGCTCATTTGCAACAAGAAATCTTCTATATGACAAAGTCATTTTTGTCAACTGAAATTTCATCACCAAACTAAGAAAACATTCTTTTCTTTCATCAATATCATGTTTGGTCCATGCCAACAACATCTTACATTTCACTTCTTCTTTTGCTTTTGTTTCCTTTGATTCCATCAGAAATGAAATGAATTTTTCATCAAGATCCATAAACTCATCAGACTGGGCAATTTCTATAAAACATTGCAATGCAAATTGATTGCATTTTTCCTCAAGTTGTTTACAGTCGTACCTATTTGCAATTTTTTTAGTTTGATAAAACGATCTAGAATCAAGATCATCTTCCAAAAAAATTGCAATACTATCACAAAGTCTTTGCAGCTGCATCATGTGAGCAACACCCATGAGTGTTTCTCGTTTTTCTTTGGCAACATAAGCATCCCCAGTGTAAATGAAATCAACACATTTTTTAACACAAACTTCATCAAATTCCTTTATTTCAACGACACCAGATTTTGTTTCAACATTTTCATGAGATAACATTGCTTTAAAATAATCGGAACTTGCCGACACAATATTCTTATGAACAGGAAGTTCCTCAGATCCAGCTTTAATCATGAAATTACAATGACGTCCAGTTTTACGATATTCATTTAATTGTTGTAAAATTTCAACAGCATGTTCTTTAGAATCTGTATTGATTTTTTCTTCCATTTCTGAGATGATTTTGTTTGATTTTATAAAGCACTGCTTATACAGTTAAATGATTATAGCCTACCAATATTGATAAAGCACCTTAAACAATAGAAAAACTATATTTAAAAAAGATATATACGGTGGTTTATAGTTCAACACAAGCAAACCTTGCTGCCTTGCTTCATAAAACAATGACTACAATAAAAAATAAAATGAAACTATACCCAGGGAACGAAAGGCAATGCTGCAATGCCTGATAAAATGAGTACACATCACAATATCGAAGCCGCCGAAGATATGTCTGTATGTAAAGTATGAAGTCAAATATTGACCGCTTGAACTAAAGCTCTTCGGACTACCGGATGGCATAATCACAATTACTGGATTAAATAATTTTCAAATATTTTATAAACAAAACTAAAAACTGACAAATAACACTATAACATGCAAAACCAAGTTCACAACCCTGCTTGAATATCTATCTAAGTAAACGCATTGTTACACTATAGTAGCCCATTTTAATAACAGAAACTAATGAAAAATTCCAAAATATCAAAAAGAAATCCAGATGCCAAACATCTGAACGAGCTTCAAAAAAAAAAAATTTGCTAAATTTGGCGATAGAAAACCCAAAATGATAGCCATGTGCGATACCGGCATGTTTTTTTATATAATAATTTATTTTTTAGGCCAATTGATCAAATTAAATTTTGATTACCGGTAGTTCCCATCCAAATTTGATTAGATCCCATTCCCAGAAAATGAACATTTGCATAAAACTAATCAACTGGTATCGTATGGTCGTACTTATCTCTCTGATAAATGGAAATCGGCTGACACGAGGTGTAATAAAACTGTAATAGGAATTTCGCAAAGAGAAAGTTTTTGTTTTTTTTTGTATTTATTTTTTTGTATTATGCCATTATATTAAATTGTTCATTTCGAATCGTGTTCTATGTTGTGATTTGTAAAATACCATTTAAAGATTAGATTTATTTTAGTTTATGGATTGGCATGTAAACAAAACATTTTAAAATTAATATACAATACTACTCTACTCATATATGCACCCAACTGACACTTTAAACAGTGCATGTAAATATCTACACCTGAACATTTCCCCGCATATCAGAGTTTTGCACCGGTCTTACTACTTACTGAATACAGCGCGAAACACCGCAAAGAGCGCGAAACAGAGGGAAACAGCGCAAAACAGTGGGGAAACAGCGCGAAAGAGCGCAAAACAGAGGGAAACAGTGTGAAGCAGAAAAAATTTTTGCAATGAGTTCGGGGCACCTTGTTTTGAGTTGGAGTACCACGACAGCAAATTAAAAACACAAACCAACGTATGTAGCCAGTGATGCTGTAATGGCAGGTCTGCCCCTGCTGGTGACACATTTTGGGTACCATAATTTAGAACATTTTCCATATGGATATGGTTGGCTTTAGGGTTAGGGTTAGGTAAAAAGGGACCTCCAGAAGTATGTGCACCAAGATGGCGCACAACCTGAAGATAGTATGTGTGTGTGTGTGTGTTGCGGATTCAGGTTGTGCGACATATTGCTGCACATACTTCTGGAGCACCAAAAAGGTAGATAAAATTTCGCATGATGACCTATAATCCGGTACATAACCTTGTAAATATACCGGAAATAGCGCCATAAAACCATGGCGAGAGGCGCCGTGGTTCTTTCGTGGCAGGAGGTGGTAATGACTGCGTCTCCTTTTTTGCGCTGTTTCCCTCTGTTTTGCGCTGGTTTCCTTGTGTTTCGTGCTGTTTTCCTCTGTTTTTCGCTGTTTCACGCTCTTTTGCGCTGTTTTTCGCTCTTCGCGGTGTTTCGCGCTGTATTCAGTAAGTAGTAAGACCCGTTTTGCACTATTATATTTGTCTAATTCTACAGAATAACAGACTTATGAATCAGATCATCCATGTGTTCAAAGAGAAGCAATTCTTCCCTTTGGTACTGGTACTGATCATCTGGTTCAAAGTCCCAATCAATTTGCACTTGAATAGTATTCTCATGCTACTTTTGAATATACAAATTTCATCATATTTCCCAGAATTTCTGAATGTCCAAATGGCCTATTTACCGGGATGGACTAAAAGTAGGCACTTGCAAATTAGGCACTTTTTTAGGCACTTTGGAAAAAAAATAAAAAGGGCGTAATACCTTTTAAAAACATAATTAATTAGTTAAAAATGGTCAAATTAAATGTTGAAAACGCAAATTGCAACGGGCAAACTCAATAACAATATTTAAAACGTAGTATTAAAAGCAGTCGCACGCGCTTGGTCACCACATATGCTAGGCACATATTTAGGCACTTCGAAAAATAAATAAAATGGCAGTTATCACTAATAAAAGACAGAGACATAAACATATTACCCACACTGATTAGCCTGGGTAAATATCCAATAGATGCACTTGAGTCTAGTACTGGAATTTAGAAATAATAAATTGTTACCGGTAGGCACTTTTTTAGGCACTTCGGAAAAAAGGTGAAATGGACGTAGTAACTCCTAGAAAGATAATGAATTAGTTCAAAATATTTAAATTAAATGTTGAACGCGAAAATTGCAACAGTTAAACCCAATAATGATTTTTAAAACTTAGTACTAAAGGGAGACGCACGCGCTCTGTCACCACATATGCTAGGCACATATTTAAGCACATCGAAAAGAAAAAAAAAATGGGAATAATCACCAATAAAAAAAAGAAAATAAAAATATTAGTCAAAATGATTAGCCTGGGACTGGGTGAATATCCAATAGATGCACTTGAGTCTAGTAGTGGTATTTGAGAATAATGAATTGTTACCGGTAGACACCTTTTACCGTGTTTCCCCGAAATTAAGACAGTATCTTATTTCAAATTTCTTCCTAAAATTACCACTAGGGCTTTTTTTCGGGGGATGTCTTATATTTTAATTTATCAAAAATAAAATTACAAAGTAAAGAATTAAGATATTCTCAAATATGCAAAATATAAAAACCGATATCATTGGGTTTACTTGTTGCAATTTGCATATTAATTTTTTAATTTAAATATTTTAAACTAATTCATTATCTATTTAAAAGTTATTACGCCCATTTTACGCATTTTTAGAAGTGTCTAAATAAGTGACTAAAAAGTGCCTACCGGTAACAATTTATTATTCTCAAATATCACTACTAGACTCAAGTGCATTCATCGGATATTCAAATAGGCTAATCATTTTGACTAATATTTTCATTTTCTGTATTTTTATTCATGATAATTACCATTTTCTTTATATTTCGAAGTGTCTAAATATGTGCCTAGCATATGTGGTGACAGAGCGCGTGCGTCTCCCTTTAATACTATGTTTTAAAAATCGTTATTGGGTTTACCTGTTGCAATTTCCACGTTCAACATTCAATTTAAATATTTTGAACTAATTCATTATCTTTTTAGGAGTTACTACGTCCATTTCACCTTTTTTTCGAAGTGCCCACCGGTAACAATTTATTATTCCTAAATTCCAGTACGAGACTCAAGTGCATCTATTGGATATTTGTCCAGGCTTATCAGTGTGGGTAATATGTTTATTTCTCTGTCTTTTATTAGTGATAATTGCCATTTTCTTTATTTTTTGAAGTGCCTAAATATGTGCCTAGCATACGTGGTGACAGAGCGCGTGCGTCTCCCTTCAATACTAAGTTTTAAAAATCGTTATTGGGTTTAACTGTTGCAATTTTCGCGTTCAACATCTAATTTAAATATTTTGAACTAATTCATTATTTTTCTAGGAGTTTCTACGTCCATTTCACCTTTTTTTTTCGGAGTGCCTAAATAAGTGCCTACCGGTATCAATTTATTATTTCTAAATTCCAGTACTAAACTCAAGTGCATCTGTTGGATATTTACCCAGGCTAATCAGTGTGGGTAATATTTTTATTTCCCTGTCTTTTATTAGTGATAATTGCCATTTTCTTTATTTTTCGAAGTGCCTAGCATATGTGGTGACAGAGCGCGTGCGTCTCCCTTTAGTACTACGTTTTAAAAATCATTACAGTATTGGTATTTAACTGTTGCAATTTTCGCGTTCAACATTTAATTTAAATATTTTGAACTAATTCATTATCTTTCTAGGAGTTACTACGTCCATTTCACCTTTTTTTCGATGTGCCTAAATAAGTGCCTACGGTACCGGTAACAATTTATTATTTCTAAGTTCCAGTACTAGACTCAAGTGCATCTCTTAGATATTTACTCAGGCTAATCAGTGCGGGTAATATGTTTGTTTCTCTGTCTTTTATTAGTGAATATGCCATTTTATTTATTTTTCGAAGTGCCTAAATATGTGCCTAGCATATGTGGTGACCAAGCACGTGCGACTGCCTTTAATACTGCGTTTTAAATATTGCTATTGAGTTTGCCCGTTGCAATTTGCGTTTTCAACATTTAATTTGACCATTTTCAACTAATTAATTATGTTTTTGAAGGGGGTATTACGCCCTTTTTACTTTTTTTCCAAAGTGCCTAATTTGCAAGTGCCTACTTTTAGTCCGTCCCCTATTTACCACATATTGCAGGTATCAATTTTGACTGGCAGTTGGTACCATTTGGTATGGATTAAATGATTCCAGCTCACACCATTTCCAACAATCCCTGGCCCATGCACGCGTAAAAAATAAATGAAAACTTTTCTCATCAATGCCATCATTACATAAAACACATGTCCCTGGTTCATCCTCAAGCCAATATTTCATTTTATCAGCAGTGGGTAACCCATTATGCAATAGCTCCCAACTGAATTCTTTACATTTGTTTGATACTGCACTTTTTCCAAATTTTCCCCAATTGAAGCCACCATTAAATCTCTCAAATATTTCCCACAACACAATATCTCACGGCCTGCAGTACATTAAACGGGGAATACCCTAACTATCTGGTGGTGGCTTGTGGATACAACCTAGTGCAGTGGTTCCCAAACTTTTTAGAGTTGTGTCCCACTATCAATTACCACAGCTTATGGCGACCCATTTGACTTTAATA